GAGACCATAGAAGCCATAAAAGAGAATTCGCTGCGCGAACTAAAGGCCATACCTTCGGCGGCCTATCAAACTTGTATGGAAAATTGAATCAAGCATTGTCAAAGATGTATTTCCGCAGGAGGAGAGTACTTTGAAGGCGATAATAAGGGAAATTATAAAAATTAAAATTTTGCGTGTTTTTTTAACTTCTCGTTCTTTTTTTTATCAAATAGTATATACTCGTATTATGAATTATATAAAGTGAAAAAATAATAACATAAGTTCATATTGAAAATATTTCAGTAGTGTATAAGAACAATATAATGACATTTTAAACAACAGCAAATCATATGTACAACTGTTAAATGTTAGAGTAGCAACTAAAAATTGTTCTTTCCAATAACAAACAAAAATAATAATTATATTACTAAGGAACAAAAAAAAGAAATAAACTTTTGTCGTATTTGAAACGAATTACCAGTGTTTTTTTTATATTATTTCACATCTGAAACACAACATATTTTTGGCGCAGCCTTCAGTTCAAATAAAAAACCTTTAACATTAAATATAACCAGGCCTATTCTGAATACTCCAAGGGAACAAAACTCCCTATTTTCACGCTGTTCCCAAACACACAACTTCCTTATTCTGAATTGCTTGAGAGACAGCAGTTTTGGGAACAACAACAGTTTCAAATTTGTTTTGTTACATTTTGGCAACCATGCTACTTTTTAATGACGAAAAGTGCGAAAATGAGCAAAACAAAGAAAAGAATTGCGTATCATATGTTGATTTAAATGTAAAAATCGCATTATTTGTTTGCTGCACAAATTATCGGAAATAAATATAAGTTATTTTATAAGTAAATAATAAATAATAAAAAATTAAATAATAAAAAACTTTTATTTTAATGAGTAAAATAAATATATAAAAAGAATTGTGCATGAGCAAAATAAACAAGAATTGTGCAGTTGTTAATGATTATTTAAATAAAAAATTTTAAAAAAGTTTTCAAAAATGCATTCAATTGCATTTCGAATTTTAGCGGAGAATTTGGCTCAAGAACAGGAGCAAGAAATTTTGCAACAGAGGATCAACCGCAGAAACTTACATGTTAAATTTAACTCTTTTCTAAATTTTTAACTCTTTTTTAACTAATTAAAAAACAACCTTACGTTATGATATCAATTCTTCAATGTCTTTATTTTCAAACATTCACTGCTTTTATACAAAATTTGCGTAAATTATGATTTAATTTTTTTAATTAGGATAAAAATGTCCTTCATGCTTCAATTAATGAACTAATAATAGTTTATGATTGTGCAGATGTTACATTAAAAAAGAAGAAGAAGCAAAAGAAGAAAATTTAGTTATATTAAATTTATTAAAATAAATTTTTTAAAATATATTCGGAAAACTAATCAACTCTTGTGGATAAAATAAAAAAATAAAACTTTGAAAATATTAAATTTATTGCAATAATTTTATTATAATAATAATTTTATTAAAATATATTCAAAAATCTGATAATTCTCAGTTACTTTTATATTAAATTAAACCATTTTTAATATTTTTTTAACTTGTCTCCCCAACAATTTGCTTGGGAAAGAATTTGTGCAAAATTGGGAAAAAACTCCCATTCCTATGCGATTCAGAATAGCAAAATTGGGAACAGGGAACAAAACTCCCATTCTCAAATTATTCAGAATAGCAAACTTGGGAACAGGGAACAAACTTCTATTCCCATGCTATTCAGAATAGGCCTGAACATGACATTATTATAAAGACCATAACATTATTGGTCTCGTTCAGTGCTTCTCCATAAAAAATCCCAACAGGTCTTTGGGTAGAAGCAGTGAAGTCCGCGAAGGGTCATGTAGTTCGGACAATGATAAACGCGTGTCTCACATTTAAAGAGCTTAATACCGCTCTTATCGAAGTTGCAACAATTCTGAATTCTCGACCAATTACGCCGTTATCTTCAGACCCTAGCGATTATGAGGCATTGACGCACTTTGCTTCTCTAAAAACTTTACCGGAACGCTGTATGACAGGTAGGTAGGTAGGTTGGAGTGACGACTTTGTTTACCAAGAAAGCCCACTTGAGCACAAATAATGGCCCGTTGTGGTACCACAAGGAAAAAGCGATGTTCGTATATAGACAAGGGGATCAGTATACGACCAA